CCCTTGCTTTTTCAAAATAGCTTCCTTTTCATCTGTAATGAAAACTACATTCTAACAGCAGGAAATAACTTCACAAATGAGTGTCATTCTGCTGCAGGTAAAATATCTAATAGCTCGTGGGAGTGCCAATTACAACCTAAAAAGTACTTTTGGCATTCTCCATCCTGGTGAAAGACTTGGAGCTCAGTTCTGTGTTCCACACAGGCTACACTAGGTTCAGAAAAGGGAAATGGGGACGAGGAAGGTGATTTCAAGTCACCTACAGCATCTCCTGTTGTGAGCATGGCCAGTTCCCAGCTGCCTGGATGTCCGGAAAGCTGTGTGAACTTCCACTCTCCTACCTCTGGCTTCAGGTTTCTTCTACCACTAAGAAAAGCATTTAAAATTCTGAAAAATTGTCTGAGCTGCCCTAGTCAACAGAAAAGGAGGATTAGTTCAAGAGCAGACGAGCACAGCTTTTGACCCAAGTACTAGTCAGGTAACTGCGGAGAGAAACACACTAAAAATATAAATAGAAAGATGTCAAAGAAATAAATTAGGTAAATTTTCACATCTGGTTAAAGAGACCTGGAAAAATTCTCATCAGCTTGTAGCTTCCCCAAACTATCCATCTCTTTGGGCAATACTAATTCCACTTCATGTCTCAAAGGGCTGTATAGAAGACACATCAATATCTAAATAACATGTATTTTCTTTTGTAATATAATTGTAATTTAAAGGAAATTACAGCATGGACAGATCGCTCTAGCTCCCTAGCACCCCACACTCCTCCCAGGTTAGATCTGAAAGGCAAACATTGCTTTAACATTCCCTGCCTATGGCAGGAGTGGCACACGTACATGGAGACACCGTCAGACCCAGCATCACCTACCAGGGTGCCCCAGTGTCCTGCAGATATTTGCAAAAGCTCCTGGTGCAGAGGACAGGAGACACTCCCTCTCCTTCCTGCAAAGGACCATGGACTCTTGCAGAGGACCAAAACCAGGCATAAAAGTCACAATTTCAACCACTTTTTATCAAATTTTCCTGTGAAAGCAGCAAAGGCAGTCAGCCGTAATCTTTGCTAAGAGGCTGAACTCAGAATGATTTGAAACGGGTGCTGGTATCCAAGCCAGATCCCTTTCAGTATCAAGAGCATAGCCATAATATATCAGGTATCACTTTACGGCGTGAGTTTTAAATGCGTTCTATATGTGGAATCACATAATTCACATACTGAAATGGGCAGCACATTTAATGAGTAGCCCAGGTGGCTACTGTAGATTTTGATTTAAAATAAGATTGCCAAGACCAGAACTTACTTGCCAAAATGGAATTCTCTTTGTGTGCTCTCTTTATATTTCTTCAGCTACCTGCCTTTACCAAAGCAGAAAAATGTCATATAAAGAACCTCTATTTATATAAATTCTTTGATAGTTTATTTCCATCTATACTTTGCAGTGTAAATGGTCTATATTTGGACATATTCCAGAAGTAAAGGAATGAATATTACTTTGAACCCATAAGATGAAACCAAAAGATTTCTGCTCATACTGGTACAAAACTGCTCTATGAATATTAGATACATAAATCAATTGGTAAACAAGCAACTAAAATTTTATCAGTTATAATCTGGGAATATCGATTGGGTATTTTATTTTTCTGGTAGTTCCCTAAATATGTTAGATGTCAATACCTCACACTTCTTAAATAATTTTAGATAAAACTGGAGGTATTAAATAGCTACAAGATACTATGAAGATATACATATTAAAATGACTGATGCTTTGAGAATTTAATTTTTAATGTCATTAAAATACTTTATTAATCAGGTATGAGGAAAAGAGTTGTTATACTTGGAGCAGCAGGCAAGGAAAGCAGTTAGAGACACCTGACCTGTCTCAGGCTTTCATATTGTTCACAAGTGCTACAGATATTCCACCCACTCTTCCAACAAGAACACTTATAGGTGGATATACTAGTAATTAAAAATGGTGATAACTTCAAAAAGCTCCTATTTTAATAAAAAGGCACATGGAAAACTGAGTTGCTCCTATTTGGTACGAGCCACTGGCCAAAACTCACGGTCCCTTGTTCCACTGTTATGGTCAGAGGTGTGAATGAAACAGCACCAGGCACCAGGGTGCTGCATAGGTGCTTTGCCTTTCCCATGCTGATCTCAGTGAGCAGCACCCCCTGTGACACCAGGAGCAATCACTAGTGGTTTCCAGGCAGTCAAACTACTCTTTGAGACCGTGCAATGTTTTCCTTCCATAATTGACAGGTGAGCACGAGAAGGGGATTTTTAACCAAAACAGGATGAGTGACTGGACAGATGCTGGGGAGGATAAGATCACATCAGAAGTAGCTTCAATTCACACCTGACCTGGCCTACTGGTGGGCTTCTGCCACCCAGAGTGACCCTGTAGCACCCCTCGACTCACAGCACCAGGCTTCTCGCCCTCCTCTCGAGGGCTGGATCCAGCCACTGGACGTGATTCCACGAGCTGACCTAACAGAAAACTATGTGGATTTTGCTATTTTGGGCAGGCTAATTTTCCATTAGCCTGCTCTGCTGCTCCATAATCAATGGATATGACTCGAAGAAAGCAGCAAGAACATGTGACAGAGCAAGATGGATTGAGGCCACCCTTTCCATAGGAGCCTGCAGTTTCATCAGATTAAATGTAATGTGAAACCAATGTCCGCAGTGGTGGTGACAATGCTGCCTTCATGACACACATACAGCATACACCTAAACAGGCTTCCAGCCTGACTCACAGCTTCATGCTCCTGTGCTGCGTGTCTGAAGCATGCCAGAGCTCTGCATGGTTTGAATAGGGTGTTTTGGCCAGCACAAATCCAACAAGAAACACTTCCTGCCTTTAGCCCTTTGTTCAGATACTGAGGCAAATATGAAGTGGGTAGTAGTCCAGTTCAGATATACATAGAGTGGATGACCCTTTCTTTGGGCAGTGAGATAAGGTTTAGAAAGGAAAAGACAGCTCATGTGGGTTGAGCTCCATCAGTGCGACACCTGGACAAACCTAAAGATCATTTTAGCCATTTCTGATTGACCTCCTTAGAGGGAATTGGTGATACTTAATTCACTGAAATACAAGGGCTTGGGTTTCTTCCTATTACATACGCTTACCAGGACTGTTACCTCTTTCTTGGTCTACAGATCTTGTGGTCAGCCACAGAATGATTCTGAAAGCCTGCTGGATGCCAAAGGGAAGTATATCTGGATTTGGCTAGCTGAAGAGATCTTCAAAGTCAACCTCAAGTATCAGTGCAGATGTACATCGTGGCTTCTACAATTAGTTCTGATCATCTGTTAGAGGACTGGTGTGCATGTTTGTCCAGAGGAGAGTGATGGAACAGAGATGAGGTTAAAGGCTAAACCATTTACACTTTGTCAGAGAGAATGAGCATTGATGAAAATGCTAAAACCACTCTCTCAGACCACATGGCATCCAAGTTCCTCTGTTCCTCCATGAGAAAACTAAAGCAGACATGGCTGAGGAGCTTCATTCACCCTTCTACCTCGAGAAACAGTCCCATCTCTCCAGTAGGGACCAGCCAAAAGCAGCTTTTATGGTTCTGTCAGAGAAGAGCTTGATGGATTTTTGAGAGGTCAGGCAGGAAGGCTGCCCCTTTCTTGCGCTTTCTTACAAAAGACAGCTATTCTCTAGGTTTAGATTGATCTAAACTCTCCTCCTTAAATTAGTTTTTTTCTCAAACCCAAAACTCTGGCGTGTCTTTTTTTGGTTTGTGTACATTTCCCATTTAGCTTGTTGAAATCATGCTCCTTGCAGCATGGTAAGTGATAAAAATGCACACTGTGTGAAGAAAACCTTGTCAAAAAGATGTGCTGTGCAAAACTAGTGACCTTATTTCCTAATTAGGAGACGTTCCCTAGACCTCTCTATCATGCAACCAATAACAACTTCTGTAAAGAAAAGTAATTTTCCTAGAGTCGAAAAGCAAAGAGCTGCTACTCAGGCTCCAGAACATTAATTTGCAATCCTAATTCAGTGAGTAGCATGCTGTTTACAATAGAATGACAAAATGTCCTTTTTTAAAAGAAACAGTGCAATGAATTGTCCCTAAATTCTCCCTGAAGGACAATAACATTCAGATGTTCCTTGGCACCAATTAGTTTCAATGCAGCCATTTAAGTGGCATTTCTTCATCAACTAGCATGATATGTTATATAAAGTTATGTGGTTATTGGAAGGGAATTCACATTAAAGTAGGGGTCCAGAATACTACTACGATACTTAGCAGCAAATGCTAATTGCAGTTCATCAATCGCAATTGGTGACATCACCAAATTCCATATTATCCCTTTTATTACATTCAACTAATAAATATTTGGAAACTAGGGTCTTACAAGTTTATCACAGCATTTTAACTTCCAGTGCTGCATGTAGAATATATGTACATACAGGATCTTACAAAACCAGTAAAATCATAAAAAAAAGAAAATGCAGCAAGGCCACAATAAAAACAGGGGAAAAAAAAGATAGTCTTAACATCAGATTCAAACAGACTGAAAAGTAATGCTGAAAGATATGCCTCCATTTTTAATTTGAAGCTTCTCAGCTGAAGTAGAGCAGTTGAACATTTAGTTTGAGTGAACAGGTTTGCACATCCGACGTTTCACCGCATTATGAGTGGGACAATGTTAAATATGTTTTCACTGCAGCTCCACAGGTCACTGGCATGGGCGTAAGCCAAGAACATACAGTTAAGATTATTACAACATAGCTATTGGTTATGCAGCTAGAGCTCTATGCTAACTAACAACATTTAATGCTTAGATAATGTGTTCTCATTATTGCAAATGAAATGAAAGGGCCCTTTCCTGTATAAAGACAATCCAAGCAAAGTCCACACTTTTCCACCAGACTATTAACGGAACCTTTTTTCCACCAGGATTCAAAAGAAGGGGAGGTTAAGGGAACTCACTGATAGAGCAACATGGTGAACGCAAACCTGTGCTGTGGAAGACTTACCATCATCCAGGTACATCTGGTCCAATTCCTCAGGTTCTCGCTTGATCGTTACAGGAATAGGGGCCAAATTATGATTACTTTCCTCATGCAACTCTGGCAATGACAGTGGTTGGGTTGTTGGAGACTCATTTCTGTGAACCTTCGGCAGTTGCTGCTGCTGTTGACCCATTATGGATGAGTGAGTTGGACTGCAGGACTGCAAATAGGTTGGCTCTTGGGTAACAGATGGAACTGGAGAAGAGGGACTGTTGGGATAGAGTGTTTGTTGATAACCAAGGGGACAGCTACTGCTCAGATGTTGACTCACCTGCGGCTGCAGCATGACGTGAGATGATTGCTCGGGGGGGCTTGGGTGCACAACTATAGACCTTGGCACTTCCTGTATGGTGGGGACACCTCCAGGGGGCTGCTGAAGTCCGAGGTGACTGTGGCCCGGGTTGGGGATGCACTTGTAAGGAGAGGACGAAAGGTCGTGCAGCTTGGGGCTTGCGTTGGGAGAAGGTGACATCACAGCGTTTCTCTGCTGACAGGAGGCAAAGCCGGCCACGAGGCACGAACCAGGATCAGGGGGCATCATGATCTGCTGACTGTAGTACGGTTTAGAGAGAGGGCTTAAGCCTTGGTTCATTGGTCCACAGGTTTGAGCAGGCTCATAGTCATCTGTGGGTTCTGTTTTTATAATTGGAACTGTTAAAAGAAAAAAGGTTTTAAATAAACATGAGTTGCGTATTGGTATGATCAAGTTGGCTTGTGGCTAGGATACCCTTTGCAAAACAAACAACGTCGTGAATAAGACTCTGTGTGTCTTTTGCCTAGTTCTCCCACCCTATAAAAAAAAATGAATGAGTCATCAGCACAAGAAAGTCACAGCTGGTTCTAATATTGAAAAGGACTATTTTCTTTGGACTCTCCTCCAGCACTAATGTGCTATAAAAATCTATTTGCAAATAGCTGTGCTTCAGTGGAAGCTTTGGACCCAAGGGCTCCATGGATTTGTAGTAATCAAGGCAAGAATTTTAACTTGGATAGACTACTGCATTTCTACAGCTACTGATGGCCCATTTGATAAATGTCTGTACACGCAGTAAACTGGAGCATAATCAGGTAGAGATGGGGCTTTTAGAGTTCAATGAAAATAAAGTTGTAAAGATACACGACCAAGTGTCCCAAATGATACCCTAAGCTGTCATGTCTCTAAAAAGTACCACAATGTGGATAGAAATGATTGTTAGTGAGCATCAACTCAGTCATGACAAATGCAGACCTGCTTTCTCAAATCAAAGAAAGACCCTCTCTCAAACTGAAGTGTTTTCTCAACATTTGCTTTCTCTCTCAAATCAAAGAAAGGTACCTTTGAAGCCTCTCCTACAACAGATGCAGTGCACAGGTAAAACTGACCCACTTTGTCTATCAGAAAAATTACTAATAATAGGACCAAACTAGACTGTAGATGTATTTTTTTTTCCTAGACGCATGCAACTCTAATTCATATGATCAAGTATGGATGCACAGTGGCATTTATCTTCTTTCTAAAAATTTTCTGGTGACAGCAGAGAATAGTTTTCATAATATTCTAATAATCAACCCATTGTGGCATGAAGTTAATAATGAAACATCTTTTCACAACTCAGCTCAGATACATGTGTGTTGCACGAGTGTCTCTGACTGTATTTTTATTTGCATGTGTTTTACAAAACCCTTACACATTGTCCAGCCATTTATTATGTTTGTGTATGAGTCTTTTTGAGCCCCTTAAAACACATGTGTCCATCTGCACATATAAAACCTCTTTTAACACTCATAGATTTTGTTGGTGGTGAATGCACTTCACTGCCCTTGTTTTACAGTCCCCCAGCCCCTTGTAAACTTTGTTCCTTTTATGTTCTTTTACATGTAGATGCTTGCAACACTTGTTTCAAGATTTCTAGCACCCTAGTAAAAACAGGCCTATATTTGTAACAGATGCACAGGTGCTGCTCAAGACAAATACTCTAGGTGTGAGGGACTGTCATTGGATTTCTCATAATCTTATTTTCACCAGCTTGTGTGATGCACATTGGCTAGCAGGGCTACTAATGCACTTGGTTGCAGAGAAGCAGATTCCAAGTTCAGTGACAGCTTTACAAAACCACTATCACACCCTTTAGGAAAATGCAAGACTGAAGAAACGCACCTAGATAAACACAACAACTCAGATATTGTAAGAAAATACCTTTAACAAGTTCCTGAGCTAGCAAATATTCTCACATGTTTTATATTAGGTTCACTGTGCTAGCACTAACCACAGCACAGCTGGAAATATGATGGTTGTTGAACACTGAATTTTCCCAATATATCACTGTTATAGAAACACCTGTGCTAAATAATTTCAAGCTCAACCACTGGCAATTACAACTCCAATAAACCCTGGAGTTGTCTGACTTGTTATAACCTAGGGAAAGGTTATAGCCCTGGTGGCAGGCAGGCTGGAGGCTTTACAGAAGGCAGGCTCCTGATCTCAGGCTGGCTTTCCATTGCAGCCCTTCAGCAGAACACCTTTGCTACCTGGTGCACCAAACACTTTTTTCTCACTTCAGTGTGAGTTTCTCTTTACAAAAGCAATGCCATGGGGTCCATTTAGAGGTCTGATTAGTGGTCATGAATGCTATGAATCTCTTTTTGTGTGTAGCTACACTGAGATACACACACTGCAGCCACCACGGAGGACCACCAGTAAGTCCTGCTCTGCACCAGAAGGACTGATGGGTGGGAGGGACTCTATTCCACACCTGTTAGTCCAAAAAAGTCACTTGGAGTTGGTGACAGCAACCAAAGACACTGGTGCCTACAAATTCAGAGGGAAAACAAAGACTGGTCAGGGCAAGTCAGGGTTGTTTTGCTTTGAACTATTACTTATGGGCATCAGTTATTTAATGCAATGGGAAACAAATTGTCTTTAAATGGACAAATGCTACCTGCACTTATGCTTAGAGTTGCCTGAACTTGTTCAACTGTAATGTCTTTGTTATCTTTTTTAATGTATTTTTTCAACACAGTAAAAAAAGTCAGCCCTTACTCGATATGATATACTTTTGTTTGTACGTGAATCTCATCACTAGAATAAGTATCACACTGGAAGACAGGAAAAGTATTCCTGCTGAAATGGTGAAGGGATTTGTATCTGACTTTTCTGTGTTTTGCCAGCTGCATAGCCATTAACCCTGTGCAGAGTGAGTGCAAGCATCACACAGACTGGGATAGCAGCCACTCAACCCCCTCTAAAAAACTGCAAACATCTTCATGAGGTACCAGTTGATGAGGTACCAGTTGGAGAGTGAAGGTCTGTAGGATTTTTTTTTTTCCCATGAGAAACCATTACCAGTGATCCAGGTGATCTGGAATCAGTCCCGTAAAGCTGAGCATGTCAGAAGAAACGCAAGACATTAACATTCCCCCTTTCCGGCCAGATCCCAACTTCAGTATTTTACTAAAATACAATTTTACTACAATAAGTGTATTTATGAATAACTGTAGTACTTGACTTGTGGAGGACACAATACCACAAATTGCTACATTACATCAGTTAATGGTTTATTTATGCTACTCTGTCTCATTACCTGCTTCTCCCCAGCCTATGCATCTTCAACAAACAGAGTAACAAAGGCCAAAAATCTCTGCCAAAGTTTGTATTTGCAAACTCAACTCAAACTACCTGTGGGTCTGATCTGGTCATTCTGAAAATGCTCTGATTGTGTCAAAAGTTGGTGTAAATCACCTCATACTCTTTTTTTGAAAGGGCAACTGTTTACTTCCACGTTTCAAAGGACTTTAGAGGCACAAAGTAAGAGCTAAGGGTATTTCAAGGCACACCTCCCCAGCCCAATGCAGGAACAGGCTGTAATTTACTTGCTGGCTACCCACTCACTATCACAGTGTCTTATGGTGCTACTCCAACACTGTAATGAGGCTACAAGGAACTAACACACCCTCACCCACTGTCTCACTGACTTCTGGGGAACTGAGATGCTCAGCTGAGGCGAGCAATTGCACCTGACTTAGAACAGGATACAACCTTAGTACCCGCCTTCACCGTTTTCTCCTAGATAGGAAAATCACAGAATACCCTGACTTGGAAGGGACCCTCAAGGATCAAGTCCAAATCAAAGCCCTACACAGGAGAAACCTGGGCAGTTCACAGGGGAATCCCCTGCACGAGACAACACAGTGGACAGGACTGGCCAGCTGGGTACTTGTGTTACCACTTACTTACTGACTCAGGCTTGACAAACTGCAAGTCTTTACAAATCCAAGATCAAAAAAGAGGTTTTGAGTCCTGTTATACACCTCCATGGAGGCATGGTAAGCTAGCTGCCATAACACACATCCATTTCCATTTTCACTGACTTCCACAAGCAAGTATATCACACAGGGAGATGCAAGGTGACATAGACAGTACTGCTAATTTTCTCAGGATTAATATTTAACAGAGAACGGTATCAGCCTAACCACTTCTGGCTCAAATATTTCAAATCTTGAATGACTTGGTAAAACCCTGCCAGCTAAAAGAGAAACTCCTAGTCAGTCACACAGCAGGCCTGGGCTGGCAATTAACTGCAGAGCCCTACAGCTGTTCAGAACCTGTGAGCACTTCCAGCGGGAACAGTCACTTCTTAAATCCAGCAGAGATTAGAACCAAATAGAACAATCGTTCTGTCTCAGAACTGCTCCGTGGTGCTGAGGTAGCACCCAGCCTTGCAGGCTCTCAGCTGACTAGAAGGAAAAACTGTGACTGAATTTGCCATACGCCGAGTTTTGCCTACAATAAACTGCATCAATGAAGCCAGAATTTGTGAAATTGTAAACACAAGAGATGATACTCTTTCTACGTACGCTCAGACTCAGAAGCAACATTATTCATTTAAGAGTGTTGAAGGATCTGGCCCTTGCCCTAAAAAGGCAAAAAAGAATGAAAGTTTGGTTCAGTGCAATTTTAAATGCCTGTTATTTCTCAATGCATTAGGTCAGCTGACAGTTTTAAACAGTCCTCAATTTTGAATATTAAAATATGACAGAGGTCACTGTTCTAAATTAGTCTGATAAGCAAATTAATTTCTAATTGGTTTTCAGTGGTTTGGTGATGCCGTCTTAGACTCTGAACTCATGTCATTATGTCATCTAATTTAATATGAAGTTCTGAGAACCATGAATTGGCAGCAGCCCTAGCTATAAATCAAAGCTTCTTACTCAGAGAGATCAGGGTTATGACATCATACCAAGGCACTGGTGGAAGACAATGGTCCTTCTGTGTGTGTGTCTGAATCTGGGAGAAATATTTCAGCCAGTTCTCCAAGCCCACATTTCAATGAAAGGCCTTTCTAGCAGGTAAAAAGTTAATATATCAAACTTAGAAGAAAAATAATAAATCATGCACATTCAGTAAAGGGAGTCAGAAAGTGCACAGATATAAACTATATATATTTTTTGACAATTCTAAAAAGTGTGTGTTTGCTTTCACACTTCAGCAATCCAGATGGGTTTTACAACTCTTTTTTTTTGGGGGGGGTGTGTAATTAAAATATGTGAACTGAAAAAATAAAATCTTATCAATTAAACAGATGTTTATCATGATTAACATGCAACTATAAAATTCCCATTTCTATGTAGTATTATCAGTGTAGACATTTATGGCACTAAAATATATTT